CATGTATGTCATCAAAAGGGAATGTTTTATATCTGCAGACTGATGCAAAACATTCGAGCATCTTCTCTCCTGTCTGCTGTTCTCTCTCTGCTGCTGCACAGAACAGATTCACTAAGAACTTTTGCTGTTCTCTCCCTTCTTCACTGAACTGATTAATTAAGGACATTGGTTTTTTTTCCCCTATTAGTGAATAGCTGAACAACTCAGATTCATAAGGAACATATGATCTCTGATGACCAAACCTGGAACAACAAGAAGGAAACATTTAGTGATGATTTGATCTGAGCTGCATAAACACAACCACACACTACTGATGGACTCAACAGTGTATTTATGTCAAACTGTTGAAGTCAGTTTTACAAACATCTACAGAAAGGTCACCGACAAAAGAATCATGACTGTTGAACTTTGACCTGTCCTTACAGGAGACAATAAAAACTTCAGCTGAGATCAAATTAACAATTTTCAATCTAATTCAGAGAGAAAATCTCCAGTAATATGATGATAATCTGACCAAACCGAGTATCAAAGATTTTCTAGATGAATTTATCTCCTGATCACAATCAAACCAGTCTATAGATTCTAGTTTGGTCTCTTTTACTGGAAAGAAAATGATCTGGTTTACATCTGACCTCCGAACATAGTAATAATAATTAAGATATTTAATTTTAGCTGTTTACATATTGGTCTATAGGTGAATGAAAATTCAAGTCAGCGAGACGTTATTCATATTTTATTGTCACATTGGCAGAAATGATGGCTTTCTGCTAGAACTGGTTAGTTCAGACAGGATTAATATTAATGGAATGTTTTCATGATAAAGTTTCAGATCCTGTCTGTCTTGTTTCCAGATAGAGCTACTTTAGAGCATCCTCACTACCAAATACACTCGGTGACTAATTTTCTGCTACAAAGACAAACAACATTAAGCAGTTTTCATTCCTCCTGATCTTCAGAACCATGAAAAAAATCCCAGTTCCTTGTAGAACCAGAACTCATTCGTTCTGTTAGACCCTGAAGGATCAAGCTGGGAGTACTGAACCTTCCTACAAGAAGAACTGATCATTTATTTCAATAATAAGTAAATCAACACTTAAAGCTAATAAATCACTTTTATAATAAAATGTATTTTTATTTAGTTGTTTAAACATAAATTGGCATCAGTTAAACAAATTGATCATAAATCTATAAGCTCTTATGTTTATAGATTTCATATCTATGAGCATCATATATTTAATGTTTTATCTTCATGCCTGGTAAAAACCTGGTCTTTTGGGTTTTTGAGACTAAAAGCTTCAGGCTGAACATAAAGAAACTGAACCAGAACCAGAATGTTCTGGAATGAGAACAAAGTTGTCTCCGGAAATGGATCCATTTATAAAAGAACTGGAATAAAGTCTATGTGAAGAAATTCTCAATGTGTGAATATAAATAACACTGAAAAAATATTACAAGTTGATATAGAAAAATCACCGTGATGATGCTGTTTATTAATATTAAAGACATGTAGTCAGAACTAAAAGGTTATTGAATAATTAAACCAGTAAAGTGAAATAAAGTGACTGTACCTGAGCTGTGAGATAAAAGGCAGACACTGCAGGAAACTCCTCACTTCACTCTCTCCATGTGAGCGGTCTGTCAGCTTCACTTGTTTCTTCTCTGGTTGGAGTTTCATCACTTCCAGGAGGATGGAGGTCTTTCTCTCTGAGAGATTTATGGTCCAGATTTCAGGAGCTGACTGGAAAACTGACTGTAATGATGGAAGGAGACTCAGACCTAATTTAGTCTCTCTGTCCTTCATCTGGGAGTACAGATCCAGCAGGAAGTCACTCTGAGATTTATTATTATGACCTAATAAAGTTTCATATCTACAGACTGATGCTAACATCTCCAGCATCTTCTCTCCTGTCTGCTGTTCTCTCTCTGCTGCTGCACAGAACAGATTCACTAAGAACTTTTGCTGTTCTCTCCCTTCTTCACTGAACTGATTAATTAAGGACATTGGTTTTTTTTCCCCTATTAGTGAATAGCTGGA